AGCAGTCCAATTTAAAAGTCTCAATTATTTATTTTTAAAATACTTGGCATCTGTCTATGGAAAATGTACTTGCTTGGTTTCCAGTCTCTTAGAATTGCTTTGAACTCGCTTACATCTTCTGGGATCTATCAAATGCTCATTGTGGCTTTTCTCTCATAAGTGCTGAATGAGTTTAGCCATGATAGGCTGTATTGGATGTAAACTTGCTGTCTTTGTAGTGGGGTAATAAGAGCAAAAAGATGTCATGCACGGGAATGGTGATTTCTGTCTGGGTGCCTGTCTTGCCAAGCAGAGGAGGAGCATCCGAGCAGAGAGCTGGAGGCTTTTATTTGTGGCAGGGAGAAGTCGTTCATTTGAATCGGGCTCCGTTGTTGCAAGCCAGTGACATTTCATAAAGAGGGTTTAGTCATTCAGAGGCAATTGTACTTAATAAAATCAGAACTGATCTCTGGTGGGCAGTATTTCTCAGTAATACACACGCACATTTTGGACAGCCAGTCCTTACCAGATCAGCGTGATGGCAGCCCGTTTTTGAGTCAAAATCTCTGAAATCCAGAGCAGGGCCTGACATTTTGCCATCTCTGGAGGGCATCAGATTTCTGCAGAGGTTGGAAGAACACGGTTGAAGAAAGATGTTTTGCAGAGAGTAGGTTGTCCCTGAGGAAGAGGGGATTGCCTGCCCATGGCGTGGTGGAGGGCTGTTGTAGCTGGTAGGAGCATGGAGGCAAAGATGCTCCAGGCTGGGGAGTTCCTCAGGTGTTGGATGTGTGTGGTGTATTCATTTGTGTAAGTCTTGTTAGCTGGAAAAAGGCCTGGAGTGCTTGGAAACTGTAATGGTTGGGCACTGGATCTTCCTGGGCAGAAGAGACCAGAAAAGATGAGTTGGTTTTATAGGGTGACTGGCAATTACCTCCTGGGGTATGGCAGAGTGAGGGTTTTCTCTCTAATCCTCTGTCTTAAGGCACTTGTAACATTCTGGAGATTTTCCCCTTCAGTGAGATTTTTTCAGGCTTAATCTGTGCTGTACAGCAAATCTCTCTCAAGTTTGAGTGAAAACAATTCTACTCTTTTAGAGTGTGAAGAGTGTCAAAGCATAAAGTTTTTCCATTAAAAGCAAACTCTTGCCTTCTCCCTGCCTTGGTAAAAAAGCTCCGTAGCTGCAGTTGTTGTTGGTAGCATTTTAGGATGGAGAGAGTCTTCCTGCAAGAAAAGTGCCTTTGTGTTGCTGGGGATAGTTTGTTTCAGCTTAGCCTTATCAAAATACTGAAAATTTCAAGTTGCTTGGACACTACATGTTTTTTATAATGGAACTTTACAAGGTACATGCAAGCATGGTGCTGTGTTGCACATCTGAGATGAAGGAAGTCCGTGTAAGCCTTCCCTAGCCTTGTTAGTTGTAACAGGGCTAGATGTGAAAGACTTACAAATCTAGTATATTGTGCCATAGAGAACAGGACTCTTATGTCCTCCGAGACCTATGTCACCGGGAAGGCCGTTTGGAGCGCGGTCAGCAGGGATGTGTGGAGCAGAACAGTCTGACTGCAGGCAGTTCGTGTCACGCTGAAAAAACTGCAAACAGTATTTCAGGCTTTCCCATTGCTACTGGATTCAGAGCCTTTAATTTATCTTTTTTTTTTTTTTTTAAATTTTGGAAAATAGAAGGTACTGTGAAATCACATGTGGAAGCGTGATGGGTTATGGTACTGAAATGGGGCAGTGCCACAGTTCAGGTTGGATGTGGAAGCTTGGATGATGCTCCATTCTGCATTTCACAAATAGCCTATTGTAAATAAGATTCAAATTTTCTTTAGCTTAAATGCCCCTTTGTTGCATTCTGTACTACTTCTTTGTATATACCTTGCAGAGACAGTAGAAGTCATTCATATGCAAAATGCACCATACATTGTATATACTAATTATGTAATAAAGAGTAATAATGAAAATTTTCTAGCTTGTTTAGGCCACTTAAGCATGCGGTGAAATTAATTTTATGGTTAATTGTCTTATTCCTGATTTGTACATAAAGAGTGTTATGTCATCCATAGAAAATATTAAATATCTACTGATAAATGCATTCAAGGTTACGTATATTATGTATAAAAGAAGAAAAAAAACACCAGATACTTTTACATTTTATTGCAAATTGGGGAAAACAGATAAGACTGTGTTATGGAAGAGAACAATATGTGATCACATAATTAGAAAATTGTCGTAACGCTGATGCTCAGCGGTGTCCAGGTGTGGTTTTATGAGTGAGCAGCCTGAACCATGCAGCTCTGAGGATGTAACTTTACCATCTTCTTAACATTGTTTTTGCAGTGTATGCGTGTGTAAATTATATAATAGCAATTCCTGGGAGATTCTACTCCTAAAATGTTCCTTCTAGCTGTATGAACACATAAGGAAGCTACTGTATGACAGATGACAATAATTTTTCATTCAAGACAGTTCCCCTTGACTTGATGGATGCAGACAGAGGAACCATACTCTCTGGAAAAACACCAGGGAGCAGTGGTAAAATGTTTCAATGTGTATGGTAATCAAGGCGGAGTGTGGTTCTTGATTAGTCTGTGAAATTGTACTGCTGAGACGAGGGATCTGAATTAAGCACTTTTTTACCAAAGCCCTTTGCACTGCTATCCAAAAGTGTATTGTAAAAATTAATTTCCTTAAAATGCCGCGAGCAAAATTGATCCAAAATGATTTTGGCATATGCTGAACTCACTCAGTGATACTTTTCTTCATAAACTCCTATGAGGACTATATAGTGAAGTGTTTTATATAAGGTATACCTAATTTTAGGCTTCATTTTAAAGGGGTGTAAAATGTAATTTGTGAGTGTTTTGCGAGCTTTGTCTGTGCTGGCTAAATTGAAATTTAAGCAATTCTACCTGAAACAAACTGTTTCTGATTTCTACATCAATGAATGGCTGTACCTCGCTCTACATTTGTTCAAAGCATGAGTTTTCAGAACCTGGAGGCACCACCAACTTTGTGAGATATTGCCAGCATCTCTGTGTGTGCTGTGAATACACTGGGAATAGGAAGGCCAAAATAGGGGAAGAAAATTGCTTTCAAATTTTATGAAGCTAGAGTGAATGCCAGACTTTTTTTTTTTCATTTTTTGTGAGCCATTTGGACTGATCTTCATCTTGGCCTTTTCTCTATATGGTAATGTTTTATTAGATGTATAGGTACTTTGCCAGTATTATACATTACAGCCAATATATACAGTCAGAAGCCTGGGAATCAGTAAATATGAGTAGGAACATATCTGAGCAAGATAAAAGGGTATCACCTCATCTGGCAATATACAAAATTTCAGAATATGGGAAAAATACTTGCATTTGTGAATACAGCAGGACTTGTTGTGCAGCACGATCTTGGAAAAACCCAAACAGCCCCAAACAAGTTATTGGTGCCAGCAGAGCATTCACCTGCAGACAGACTTGCAGGAGGGAGCAATGGTCAGACCAGCAGCATGTCAGGAGGCCTGGGCAGCCTCAGCTAGACCTTACGTCTCCATGCACCATGTGGCTATTTCTTATCACCTAGTTATGCTGTGAAAAGCCGGGATAGGTCAGGTAATGGGAGATGGGCAGCAGAGAAGCAGGAGTGAATGCACAGGTTCAGGCAAGAGGCCAGCGGCAGGGAATCCTGATGGGCCCATTCCTGTTTCATAGCCAGGAACAGATTTTTTTGCTGGAGCGGATGTGCACGAGTGACCGTACGCATTGGCCAGCCATCCTGTAGTTGTGTTGCCCCTACGGACGTGCAAGCGCTGGTTCGGATTGTGAAATGCATCGGGGAGGATCCCTGAATGGCCCCAAGAGCAGCCACTGCAAAGTCCTGTTCTTGTGCTTGGCTGTTACCATCAGGCACATGTTTTTAATTTGTAATGTGTAGAGCACACATACAACAACTGTTACCATTACTCAATTTATTCTATGAAAATGTACACACCTGCATGGTGTAATGTTGAGAAGGGAGCGTTCCGTGTTTTGGATGTAAACCAGCTCCGTTGGAGCAAATCATGACTGATACAGATGGACTAACACTAGGCGCTTCTTTGGGAATGGAGAGGTTGCACAACTGCTGGAGCAGCAGCAGTGTGTTAGGACGGCTGGCAGGAGTGGAGCTCAGCTAATGCGGTAAATGGAACAAGAACCCTACAGGACATTAAGATCAGTAGCGCCCACGGGCTGCTGCGAGTTGCCCGTATTCATGGCACGGGTGTGTAGTAAAGCGGGACTGTTCAGCAGCAGAGCGTATGAAGGAAGCTATTTCTCCATCCTTCTATATTTCTTTAACTCAGATATTTGCTAGTTTGGGGTAATCATTGTTTTCACCTGCTTTCACTTGGGGTTTTGCCTAATTTTTAGTATTTATTATTTGTCCTAAAATGACGTCAAAGTGTCTGGTTTTGTCTCACTTATACTTTTTGGCCAGTACTAATGCTTTGGAAATAAAAGTCATGAAATTTAACTGAAGTCGGGGAGAAGTCTGACCCTAGCCGACAGTCCTGAATATCAGAGGCGCGTAAAAATGCATTGATACAGAGACATACTTTTATCTTACAAATTGCTTTAGGAGTAAAGGAATAACTCTAAACGTTGAAATCCTTTTCAAAAATTCTCTGTGGTTTTTGAGCTAAATCTGTGTAGCACATTTAACAGAGCAGGAGATGAGCCTGCAATGAGCAAAGAAATGAAGAGATCCTGGCAGAAAGCACAAAGTTTACCATCTACACAGACTGACCATACTGTTTATCCTTGGGTTTGTTATTAAAATGCATTGCCTTGACTCTGTTCCCTGGTTACTGTCCCAGTAGGGCAGTCGTGCTATTAATCAAGGTGCTAGTTAAACAATATTCTTCAGCAGAATTCCTTTATATCAGGTTTGTAACACTGGGTTTACATACGATGTGTATGCATTACCTCATTTGAAAGCTGTATGAATCAACACTAATGTGATTTTGTTGTTGTTTTTAATTTTTACAGATGCAGATTTACTTCTACAATCCCGATGACTTTGACAGTTTTGGAACAGCAGTTCTAGAAAACAGGGTAATAGGAGCCATGGCCGTGTTTTTTCAAGTAAGTTTAAACAAGGGCTATATCCATAAACCAAAGCATTCACCAAGTACTATTTAATTCATTGAATTGTTTCAAGCTTAATGGATGCATCTGTTTTCTTGTTCCCACCTGTCTAAGTGAAAGATATTTCATATTGTCTAAGTGTGATTTAAAATGTAAATAAGTATATTTAGAAACGTAATGAAAAATTTTGCATGAATTGTTCTGATTTTATAGCTACTTTACAGATGCAGATTGGAGAACACATTTATCATGGAACTTCCTTTGCTGCTGAAGCACATTGCCGGGGTCCCTGGAATACTAACAAACCGGCGTGAACTGGTTCTGTTTAGAGAAAACTTAAAATTCAAACATAGCTTGAGAGAAAATTAATCAATAAGCTTCATCAATCTTAACTGTAGCAGCTTCTTCTAAATTGTCATAGTAACAAGTTCTTGAACAGACCAGGTTTCCAAATGAGGGAATTTATGCATCCCCTTTTCGGAAAGGCATCCTCAAGAGCACGGCTGCTCATTTAGCTCATTTGTTGCTTCAGCCTGCCTGAGCGCCGCTGCCTGGGAGGGCTGGCGGGGCGAGCCACGCGGCGCTGGCGTTCGGCAGGGTGGGCTTTTGTCATACTGCATCAGAAATTGAGTTTTTGCCTTTGACTCGAGGGTGAATTGAATGGAGGGAGTTGGAGCAACTCCATACCACTGGGCTGTCACAGGCAGAGAAGTGGCTAATGAAGACTTTGAGATATCTCAAGGTGTGGCTTTTTCAAAAGAGAGGAAAGGAGGGAGGGAAGAGCAAGGGAAAATCCTGGGCCTCTCTGAGGTTTCACACGAGTTTTTACTGTGGAAGAAAATGATCTTACTGTTATCTTTGTGAAGTCAGATAGAAAAGAATATGCAAGTACCCATATGTAAATACCTCCCTTTTTCTTATGATGTTAGAGTGACAAGCCTGACTCCTGCTCAAATTAAGTAAGGTTGTCTTTTTCCGTGTCACTGAGTTTGATCAAAGGCTTTGATAAGGAGAAAAGGACAGATCCTTGTATTGCATAAATTGCTGTAACTCTGCTGACGTGAGGCTAGTGGAAGTAGGCATGATAAATTCATCACTACTGAATTCTGAGCAATTCTGTGGCATTTCATGTTAGGGTGAAGTTGGTGGAGCAGCGATAATTTAGAGTGGCATAGCCGGATGATTCGTAACTTCTTAATCTTGATGTGCTATGGGAAGGATTTGGGCAAATTGATTTTGGCCTTACAAGTTTAGAAACAGAACAACCAAGGGCACTGTTGCTTGACCGACACCGCAGCGAAGAGCTGCACATGACGTGCCTGTGCCATGTCAGAAGGAGCATGTGTTATGCCATGGTGTGCAATACGTGTTGTGGCATTGTGTGTCTGGAATTTAGTTGCTAAATTACCTTGATGTACCTCACATCAGCCACGTGAAGCACTGCCCCACGTTGCACCTTTCCTTAGTCTGTATATGTCATTTATTCCAGGAAGCCTGTTTTTAGAGGATCTTAAAATTGTAGTGGGACTGTGGTTTGTATTCCCCCACCTGCAAAGCCAGGTGCCGCACTTACTGCGAGTCCCACTTTGTACAATTCCGAGGGAGCCATTAAACTCACTAAAAATAACCTAAAATAGTCTGTTAATGTTGTTAAAAAAACCCATCTTTGATTGTAAGAGACCTCAGGCTCTTTAAGACCACAGCCGAGTGTTGCGGTCCCCTCAGGGAAGCAGAAATCTATACTTTTCATCATTTCTAGCCCTGCAGGCCGCAGGACATTAGGCTGTAAAGTCGGATGATGGTGCAGCTGGGCTCCTGTGCTCCAGGAGCCATGAAATCTGAAGCCATTACTGATAAACAGTCTCTGATCTCTTCCAGAGAGTGGGGGTAAGATAAGTCTTTGGCAAAGTGACCCAGGGACAACCTGTTTTGCGGCTGCAAGGAAATGGTTTTCTTTTTTTTTTTTGTATTTTTTTCCTTGCCTTTGGGTTGAAATGATAAATCAGTGGCGTTCCATTAAATTTCTGAGTGTATCAGGTCTTCCTTCTGGGTAGCTCTGCTCTGAGACGGAAAGCTGCCAAGGAAGATTTGTAGAGCCGCACGTCCCTATTCCGGAAGGGCACGTGCTGAGTTCTGGCCCATGTAAGTAAACTGGAAGGACTTCAGCGTGGCAACTGCTATTTTGGCCACCATGAGGGTTTTCCAGAGTTTGTCCCGTAGAGCTTGAGGTTTTGTACATAGGGTTATTAGCTGATGGTGATAATCCTTTGCAGATCCATTCTGTGTTTGACCAAGGTGCTGGTTTAGTTCCCTCAGCTGTGTATCGTGTGCTGGAGCTGGTGAACCACAACCTGGGAAAACCTTTACAGGCAGTTGTGTTTAGAAATACTTGGAGTTCTTTAGCCTTGTTCCCCAGGGCACCATGTGGATAAGCTTGCTGTGGCTAGTATTTCATGCAACTAATTTAAAAGCTGTCTTTTAAAACTGAATCTTAGTAACTTTTGAATGAAATGCCTGTAAGATGTCCACAGCCACATTTTGATTGGCATCTTTGACTATTCAAGTACTAATTTTATTGTTTGCTATTTTCCAGAGCTGTAGTCCCATTTCTAACTCATTTACCTAGAACACAGCTTTAAAAAAATTGTAGCAACACAATTGGAAAACGGAATTGTGCATGCTTTTCTATGTAAATATTTTAATGCAGAAATTAGATAGATTTGCCATTAAGGCAAGACTTGGATTTTTGCTAATGTGTTAATGCTGTGTTGGAATGAATGTGGACTGCACTGACTGAATTTATAGTCTAGCAGGTGTTTTTTGTTTGACTGATGTTCACAAATGTTCCTTTGAAAATCAGGTTCTCCAGTGAGTGAGCATTATACTGAACTCTATAATTATTGGCGAAACATTAAATAATTAAGAACCCTCTTTCCTCCTTTTTAAATAATTTAACTTGAACTATATAAGAATTTTCCTTATTGAATTCACTGTTTCAGGGGCAATTTCCAGGTAAAGTACATTGGTTCTGAACTTGGGTAATTGAAGCACTTGGAACTTGGTTGTAATTGCTAATTAAATCTATGCTTTTCTCATTGCTTTCATTGTAAATTGTTGATAAATTCTATTTCTGTTCGCATGTTGCAGGTCAGTTGGCCTGACAAATAAAAAAAAAAATTACTGGTTAAAATCAGGAAAGAGTTCTTGCATATACACTGCTATAATTGCTCATCTCTGTATTTCGTTGTGGATAGACACTCAGAGGGTCTCACATAAAATAGCACTGCAGGGACTCTATAGCAGGTATTCTCAATTTGCAAATGAGATGAGCCGGCCTGAAATCTCTAGCTGGGCTCTGAAAGCGGATTTTTGCATTGGAATAGAAGCTGTAAAGTGAACAGGTATCTTGAGGAAAAGGGTCCCATGGTACTTGGTCCCTTTTCTGACCGTAGCATCACTTCAAGCGCCGTGCTGGGGACTATTGTACGTACTGGGGAGCGCCACTGAAAATACCTGCAGACTTTTGTCCTGTATGTCTCTGTCTGGGGCAGAATGAGGTGCCTGACTTTACAAAAACCAAACAGCAAAGGAACAAAATCTTGCACCATTCTGTGGTGTTTCCTTCATGATCCTCTCTTGTCCTCACTGGGGCCACAGTGAGTGTAATAGAGGAGCAAAATGACTTAGGAACCTCTGATCTTTTTAGTTCAAATTGTTTTGAAAGCGATTCAGCTGGAACAAGCTGAGAAGGGAAGAAGGGAACTCCAGCCTGCTGGTGTCAGGTATAATGGTTATTAAAGCCCATAAACGTGCTTCACTGAGGCGGGGGCGGGGGGGGGAGTGTCAATGGGAAAAATGATTATTTTTTTTTTTCCTTAGTGTGGGAATGTCTGCAGTAAAAAGTATGTTTCAGGAGGGAGAGGGGATCAGAGTATTAAACAGCAATGTGAGTCAAAAAGCTCTTGGTTTTTTGTTATTAAAGAGAACTCACTTGTTATTTTAGCAAATATCCAAATCTTCTGGAGACCGATGAGGTAATGCCAATGATTTCTCTTTGTCTCCTGACAAGTTTTTCAGGAGAAAGAAATATGACCGTTCTTGTCAGTAACTGGGGTTACTTGGTGTTTCTCAAAGTGCAACCAGTGCTAGAGGAAGGTGTTTAACTCCACATATCCATTCCCTCCCGCCAGCAGCACCCTCTTGGTCTGCAGTGAAGGCTTCTGGATTTGCAGAAACGGTAACACCACAGCGGCGGGACCGTCTGCAGGGGCCCCCCTGTTTGTGGACCTCTTAAAAGCTGCCTGTGGCTGCGCACTGACACCCACTGATCTGCTGAAACACGTAGCCAGTCTTGATTTAAATGATCTTAACTTGAATAGTTGGTGCACGTGCTTAATTTCAGCTCGCATGAGGCTCAACTTGTACTTAATGATAATCTGGCTCCAGGCCTTGGTTAATTGTGAGGCTGAGCCGGTTTTGAAGGAAGCCTGGAGTGGGAGGGAAGGCCCAGATCTCTGATGGGTTCCTGAGTCATCCGTTCATATATGTACATGTAGCACCTATTTACAAGTTGCATTTAAAATGAGTAGTTACTTGGATTAAATGCATTCAGACATATTGCACAGCTCTGTTTTAACCATCTAACAATATAATTCATTGCACACTTCACTACTTGCTTTATTAAAGCCAAACTTAAATGTGTTCAAAACAAACATATTGCTTTTGCATTTGAAATATTCATCTTTGAGGCCTGTGGTAGATTCATTACTGCAGAGAATACTTCATTCCTTGATTACTGCTGTGAAAAGACACAATACTGATTCCCTAAGCACTCATCAAATATTCGATAGCTCAGAAATTCAGGAGGAGGTGACGGAATTCTTGGTCCTACAGGGAGGGCATATAAATCTATTTTATTATTTGCAAAGAAAACCATCAGTGATTAGTTACTGTATCTCAGGTACTCAAACAAATCATCTCTAAAGAAGTTAAAGTAG